TGGGGGCCTTGCCTGCGTCTTTCATCGGAGCCTCCTCACCACGAGGCAGGGTCTCTGGTCCGGAGGGATTGACGGCTTCAACTAGCTTCCTAACTCAGGTCACCAACGCCGATTCTTCGCCCTCGTCTTCTTCTTCATCATTTAGTTGAGGGATTGAGTCTATATCCATGTAAATGAGTTTCCTCTTTTTCCTCCGAGTAGGGGCCCTCTTCTCTTGGGGGTCTTCATGTTTCGAAGCCCTTTTTCTCTTGTTATCTTTCCCCGATTTTGGAATCGGGGACTCAATCTCTTCCCCGGGCGGAGCTGGCCTCATTTCAGAGACATCTCCAATGCCTGCATGAATGAGAATTAGGCATAAGTAAGAAGGCTTCTCCGATAAAAGGAAAAGCATCAAAGACTTGGAAAAGAACTAACCGTGGTGTTTGGCCTCCTATTTACCCCTCGACAAGTCACGCTATTTGCGCTCATCATACGAAGAGGTCGCAGCTAATTTTCGGACCCAGTCTTCGAGGTCGGGGATTTCATGGGGCATCCAAGCAACCGCTGCAAAAAAGGTAAAATCATCACACAATGCGAAAACAGGAATATAAGAGGATATTGGGAAAAGGACTTCGCTTACGATTGAGGTTCTATTTCTCTGGGAACGACATTTTTCCCTTGGGGATGATATCCGAGGTCCTCACTCGGATGAACCAGCTCATCCAACCTCGGTCTTTATCCTCGTCATTGCTAGCAAAGAAGGCTTTGCTCGACCGGCATTGAAGCTTGATCAACCCTCAGAAAAGCTAAGGCCGATACAATTAGATGAGGTGATTGAGGGTGAACTCTAGTCCCTCGGCCTTACAAGAGAAGTAGCGAAGCATGATCACTATACGCCAGAAAGAAGGGTGGATATGGCCGAGGGTGACTTGATATCTTTTGCAGAAGTTGATCACAATTGGATCGAGGGGATCCAGTGTGAAGGGGTAAGCGTAAACACTTAGGAATCCCTTCACATGAGTGGTAATGCTCTCCTCGGGATCGGGGATCTGCACCACGACTAGTCCCCCCCGCCACAATCTTTCTTCATGGCCTTGAGGTACTTCTTTGTTATCGAGCTGATATACCGGGATACATGTTCGCATCGGCCAGGGATTGCGGGGGGGATTTTCAACGTTAAAGTCCTTCTTTATAACACAGGGGCCGGGAATAATCTCGTGAAAGGCCGGCGCCACAAGTTTGGCCAGCCGGAAAGAGGAGGAAGAAGCTTTCTCCTTTTGGGGAACTATTTTGGAAGTTTTCGCCATTGATTCGAGTTAGAAGAAGTGGAGATAGGCAGAGTTTGGTATTTTTTGACACTAAAAAGAACGGGAGTAACGGGTAGTGAGGGAGAAGAGATGAAGAGAGGGAAATATAAAAGAAGTTTGGAAATGGTTTGAATATTGAAGTAAAGTTGTTTCCGAAATTAAACCTTGTATTTATAGGCAAGCGGCGACGATTCAATGGTGCTAATGGCCGACCACCACTGGTGAAGCATTTAATGTTTTGGGGAGCGAACCGGCGGGATGTTTCGGTCACTTCGAGCGCTTACATCACGAGAATGACATCATCATCAAGGACTCCGGAAAATCGAGGCTCAAGTCATTTCTTATCATGTCATTCTAAGAAACATGGGGACTATCTGTATACGGTCAAAATCATGTGTCCCCGATTTTGTAGGCTCGAGGTGTCATGTCGGGAACAAGTTCAATATGGATCGAGCTCGAGCCCGAAGGCAAAATACGAAGCTCGAAGATCAAAGTGATCGATGAATACCGTGGCAGAATATGATCAAACTCGAGATAATACCGTTGTGGTTTTATAACAGAAAGAGCGGGATTTCCCGCGGTGGCCCTAAGATCTCGACGTAAATTCCAGAATAGATTTGTATGAGCTAGTACGGATTTGTACTAGGCGGTTAGACAGCTGTCCCAATAAGATTCCTTGATGAAAATAGAAATGTACCTTATTTAGGGTTCCTCTACTATATAAAGGGGACACCAATCATTTGTAACGCATCATCAATCATTGGCAAAAGAATATACTCTCTTACTTTCTTGCTCATTACTCATCAGAATTGTCTCTTAACTTCATTGCCTTTACTTTACTGTTCTTGTTGACCAACCTCGACGCCATCATAGCTCGAGGTCGAGACTTATTTAAGCACTGGTTTGACTCAACTTACTTCTTTAAGTTATACGTTTGATTTCTTGGTTATTAATTAGTATTGAATTCAATCACGTATCTTTAAAACCACAAACAAGTTTAATTGTTACTCGTATTTCGAGGTAAAAAATATTTCTTTCAGGTGAGTAGTGATGTATATGTGTCATTATCAACATTACGTTATGGTGTTAGGCATGTAACCTGTGGTTTTGTAATGTAACGACAGCTCCGATACAATGGATAATGATGACTGACATTGTTGTCGTCGCTTGGATTTGTTAATGAGCCAATTTGGAAAGCTATCTAGGAATTGGATTCATGTAAAATTGGGTGTAATTATATAGTTCGTCATGTTTGTCTTGCCATGTAATTATTTGGTAAATATAGAATTAGGTGTACTTGAAGGGGAGTAATTACAGTCTCCAGTTATTCAACAACAACAACAACAAACCCAGTGAAATCCCACAAGTGGGATTTGGTGAGGGTAAAGTGTACGCAAACCTTACCCCTACCTTATGACAGTAGAGAGGCTATTTCCGAAAGACCCTCGGCTCAAGAACAGTAAAAATGAAGAAAATTAACAGACAGTAGCAACAACAAGGTAATAAGACGCGGAAGCAAATGATGCAACATGCAATAACAAAGATCTAAGAGTACGACACTACAAGAATAAAGCCAATCCCACTGAAAATAATGACACACCGTGTAATAGACAGGGTCTAGGAATAGGAAGATACAAGACTAGTACTATTACTATTGGAAATACTAGACGAAACTCTAGATTATTAGTCAACCCACAATCCTAATCCTCGACCTCCACACCTTCCTATCAAGGGTCATGTCCTTGGTAAGCTGAAGTAGAGCCATGTTTTGTCTAATCACCTCACCCCAGTACTTCCTAATCCTTTCTCTACCCCTCCTTTGATCCTTCCATGGTCAAGCTCTCACACCTCCTAACCGGGACATTAGGGTTTTTCCTCTTCACATGTCCGAACCATCTCAACCCCGATTCCCGCAACTTATTTTTCACATGAGCCACGCCCACCTTGTCCTTAATATATTCATTTATAATCATAGTTTTCCTGATATGCCCACATATCCATCTCAACATCATCATCTCCTCTACTTTCAACTTCTTGACATGAGATTTCTTGACTGGCTAACACTCGTCTCCATACAACATTGCCGGTCTAACTACACTTTATAGAACTTGCACTTAAGTCTAGGTGGGATATTTTTGTCATACAAAATACCAGAAGCGAGCCTCTATTTCCTCCATCCCGCTTTAATACAATGTGTGATATCCCCATCGATCTCCCGGTTACCCTGTATCATAGATCCAAGATATTTGAAACTATCTCTCATGAAGATGACTTGTGCATCAAGCTTCACGTCCACTTCTGCTTCATGTGCCCCAACACTAAACTTACACTCCAAGTATTCTTCCTTCTTCCTGCTCAACTTGAAACCTTTAGACTCCAAGGTCCGTCTTCACACCTCCATCCTAGCATTAATCCTGCAATGCATCTCGTCAATCAGCACTATGTCATCTGCAAATAACATACACTATGACACTTTTCTTTGAATGTGTCACGTCAACACATCCATTGCTAGGGCAAATAAAAATGGGCTAAGAGTTGATCCTTGATGCAACCCCATCACCATTGGGAAATAATCTGAGTCTCCTCCGACAGTCCTCACCCGAGTCTTAGATCTATCGTAATTACCCTAATATACGCTATCAGAACACCGCTAATCTCCAAACATCTCCATAAAACCATCCTAGGGACTTTATCGTAGGCTTTTTTTAAGTTAATAAATACCATATGCAAGTCCTTCTTCCTCTCCCTATATTGCTCCATCAACCTCCTTAACAGGTGAATAGCTTCTGTAGTTGACAGCCCTGGCATGAATCCGAACTAGTTCTCCAAAATAGACACACTCCTTCTCACCCTCCTCTCCACCACTCTCTCCCAAATATTCATGGTATGACTCAGCAGCTTGATACCCCTGTAGATATTGTAATTCTGGAATCACCCCTATTCCTGTACAACGACACAATCAAACTCCGCCTCCACTCTTCGTGCATCTTCTTCGTATTAAAAATAACATTAAACAAACCAATAAGCCACTCCAAGCTTTCTTAGCCCGCGTCATTCAAAAATTCTCTCGAAATCTCGTCCGGTCTCCTACTCATCTTACGCATTACCTACTCAACCTTAATACGCCTACAAAACCCGAAATCATGTTGGCTTTTTGAGTTTTCCAACTTCCCAAGCGCAATGATCCTTTTCCATCCTCGTTCAAGAGTTTATGGAAGTCTGCCACCTGCGCCTAATACACGCCTCCTCTACCATGACCTTACCTTCCTCGTCTTTGACGCACCTTAATTGGTCCAGGTCCAGAGCCTTCTCTCTCTAGCCTTGGTTAACCGGAATAGTTTCTTGTCACCGCCTCTGTCCCCCAACTCCTCATACAAGCGTTCAAATGCTGCATTCTTAGCCGCCATGACTGCTAACTTTGCCCCTTTCTTAGACTTCTTATCATACTCCTTATTCGTCCTATTCTCCTCCTTGTCGGCGCTCTCCATTAGCTTCACGTACTCTGTTTTCTTGATTTTTACTTTTCCTTAGGCCTTTCTACTCTACCACCAGACCCCTTTGTGGCCCCCCGAGTAGCCCTTCCTGAACCCTAACACCTTTCCAGAAGCTTCTCTAATGCATTCCGCATTCGTGATCCACATATAACTCGCGTCCCCACTGCTCCTCTAGGCCCCCATAGCCAACAACTTCTCCCCTAATTTCTGAGCTTTGTCCTTAGTTTAAGGCTCCCCACTTGATCTTAGATTGACAGTACACTGCTCTCCTCTTTCTTTCTCTCTTAATCTCTAAGTCTATTTTCAAGAGCCTATGTTGGGTCGAAAGCCACTCACTCGGTATAACCTTGCAATCAATGCATAAGCCTCTATAACTCTTCCTATAGAGAAGGTAATCAATTTGAGTCTTGGCTACCATACTCCGAAACATGATCAAGTGATCCTCCCGCTTCTGAAAACACGAGTTAGCTACTATCAAATCAAATGCTTTGGCGATGTCTAACAATGAGGTACCACTCTCGTTCCTATCTCCAAAATTGAACCTGCCATGCACAACGTCATATCCCCCAGCCGTCTCCTCAATATGGCCACTAAAATCACCTTTTATGAATTGCTTCTCGATGTGCAGAATACCTCTCACCACCTCATCCAAATCCTCCCAAAAGTTCCTTTTAACCTCCTCGTCCAAGCCCGCTTGCGAGTGCATAAGCACTAATCACACCTAAAGTGAGCCCACCAACCACCATCTTAATAAATATCAACCTATCGTACACCCTTTTAACATCTACTACTAGCTCCCTGTGATCCCTATCTACTAAAATTCCTACCCCGTTTTTGCCCCTAGCACCTCCCTAATACCATAGTTTATACCCGTTAACATCTCGTGCCTTAGTACCCATCCATCTAGTCTCCTGGACATATGTTATATTGATCCTCCTCTTCTGGAGAATCTTCCCTAGTTCTATAGACTTCTCTGTCAAAGTCCCTATATTCTAGGACCCCACTCTCAGCCTAGTAGAACCCTGACCCCCTTACCACCATTTCCCCTCGCCCCTCGCCCCTCGCCCCTCGCCCCTCACCCCTCGCCCCACCCGAGTACATGACCTCACTCTACCATCACTCACCCCAGTCACTCTAATCTGAGCGAATACTATGCTAGTACCACTACAATATGCAGCAAGGTAAACTAGGAATAGAAAAATAGTCTACAGTTAAAGGCACTAATTGAATGCAAATAAAGAAAGGCAAGTAGGTGATGCAAGTGAATTTGATAAATAAAAACAAATACAAAAACAGAGTCAAGATCAAACTAAAAATAAAAACTAAAACTAAAATTAAAGCACGGCAGGTAAATACTAAAAGTAGAAAATACCAAAGGCAGGAAAGGTAGAACCTGGACCACGCCGGATATGTCGAGATTCTTCCGTATAGATTGAGAACTTATGGGAGGGTCGTCTAGTATCGGTACAATAGTTGGAATGATGGAGGGCTTGCTGAGCACACGTCAGAGAGACTGCAGCCAAATCTGCCTATACACACGTCGGTAAGACTGCAGGAACTACCCTCACCTACAATAGAGATAGAAAAGGAAAGATGAGGAGTGACGGGTGCAGTGATAGAGGCAAGCGGCCTCGCCGGAATCAGACCAGAAGTGAGAGGAGAAAAGGAGAGAAAGATCGGGGAAGAAGAGAAATCAAGGAGGGGGGATTCGGCAAGATAAAAAGAAGAAAGGGGGAAGAAAGATCTGTAAACCACATTCTACAGGAAGAAAGGGGGTAGAAAGTGGCGCTGAATGCACTATAAAAGAGGGGGAGAAGAGGAGGAGAGAGAAAGAAAAAGGAAAACGAAAGAGAGAGAAGGAGCGAAAAAAAGGAGAATGGGGTAGTGCGAGAGAGAGAGGGCGTACCAGTGTACCGCCAGTGACTCGACGGTGACGGACGACGATGGAGATGAGGCTCCGGTAAGGTTAGGTCAAAAGGGGGTGAATGTTAGAGAGGAGAGAGAACGTTAGAGAAGAAAGAGAAAATCTGATACGGTCTCCATTTTTTATATTGTGTAATTACAAGTTAATATAATTTTCTATTTTTTTCTTTTTTCCAAATATATTAGTATATTGTTTTTAAACTATTTCTCTTATTCTCATTTTCTGACCTTCCAACATGTTGCTTATATGTACTTTTATATAATTTTGTCACTTTTTATTTTCCTTTATTTTCTTAGTTATTAAATATAATTTCATACTTTAATAAATTTATTTGCTATTCATCAGTATAAATAATTATTAAGAAACAATACCTTCTAAATTCATATCTATCCTTTTGTTACTAAAATAGTGAAATTTCGTCACGAATCATAAATTTCACATTATATTCATATGAGTTGGTAAAACATTAAATTCATTATTCAAATCTTTTATTGATTATTTAATTTAAGTTATTAGTTATTAGAGAGATAATCAAGACACCAATTATTTTTTACAATATTAGTTACCAACTTATAGTTATTTAATACTTTTATCTAAAAATATGTAGTTTGAATATCTAGTTATAAAATAATTTCTAATATTTCTTATATATGCATATATTCTTCACACTTTAAAATTTACTTGTTTTGTATTTTACTAATTTTATTATTTATTCATTAGTATAAATATTTTTTATAGAAATTACTTTTTAAGCTCATATCTATCTTTCTTATATTCACATTTCTTATATTCACATGAGTTAGTGAATAAATTAAATTCGTTATTGTAATTTTGATTTAATATGTTTATGGAATAACATTATTTATTTATAAACTACTGGTAATTTTTTGATATTATTTATCTGTTTAGTTATTTAATAACTCTTTATAGAACGATATTTATTTCAAATAACTCATAATATAATTATTCTTTTGATATATATATATATATATATATATATATATATATATATATATATATATATATATATATATATATATATATATATATGTGGTATAGTAAAGCTTATTCACATGTTCATTTACAATGCTTATTTAATTATGTAATTATACTTGTTCAACCAAACATAATAGTAGGAATTATAATGTAATTACGTTGTGGCAAATAAATAGGTCCTTTTAATTACTATACTTTGAATTATCAGAGTGAGTAATTACTACCCTAATAATTACACTACTAGGTAATTACACGTGGCTTTCCAAACAAACCCAATATTTTTGCTTTAAGGTGGGTATAAGTTAATTACTCTGCATTACTGCTGAACACTGTACTGTTAGTATATTTTCCTTCAATTATTTAAGTTTCATGTGACTGTAAACTTAAGTTTCTGATTGTAAGTTTTGGATTTACTAGAACACATGAGGTCAAGCATAAAGGAGCATAAATACAACAACAATGACCCAATAAAGTCCCACTAAGTGGGGTCTGGGGAGGGTAGTATGTACGCAGATCTTACCCCTACCCCGATAGGCCAGAGAGACCGTTTCAGTAAAGGAGCATAAATACTTAAAATACAAAATAGTCAGTTTTAAATTTCTAAAATCAAGTTTACATATTTCAAAATAATGTTAAATTAGGGAAAATACATTAGTAAAATTTACTAATTATTTCTTTAGACTATAGGGATCATTAATTAATGCACTACGAATATGTATGTAATTAACAAAGTTCAACCAACTCTATTTGTTTTTGGATGGGGCAATATAGTTGGTGAGCTAAGCTTCCCAAATCCCAACCCTACACCTATCTGTGCACTGTTGAAATATCTCTCCCTATAACTGCCTAACCTATTCTGAAAACTTGAAGGGAAAACAAAAAAGATCTATCAGAAGGCATCTTCATTTGGTCGGCAAGGAGAAAATCTCCGTTTGGATGCAGCAAATAAATGAGACATGTGCTTGATCAGTAGGCCGTCCACAATATCCTCGTAACAAAATTATCTCCTACATAAAAAATAAAAAGGAATCAAATTATCCTTACTTATTTTGGTATTTGTTTGAATTGATTATGGAAAAATATTACTTTTTAAAAAAATTTCAAACTCCGTCTATTGACAAAATCACAAACTGGTTTTGGAGTTTTTCAATCTTTGAAAAATTGAGAAAACTGGGTTGAAAATCTTCAAAAAAGTAAAAGTTTATTTTAAATTAGTTCAAACATTAGAAATTTTACCCAAAAAAAGAACTAAAAGGTTGAGTTTACGAACTCAAAATCTCCTAAACTTGTAACATAAGTTATGTGTCTATCAGTGTTAGCGGAAACGCGAAAGAAAGGTTACTTGTCGATATATTATGTGTAGTAAAACACTATATGAGTGAAGTGGACAACAATGAATTTGTAGCCTAAAAGAGAGGAAAGAAGAAAACTTATAGTTAAAGAATTGGAATAATCTAACACTCAAGATTCCAATTTTTGCAAAGTGATTAGAAATCCACAAACTGGTGACCTAAAAAGGGTGAAAGGAAAGACAAGAAAGCAAAACTAGATGCGTGTGGACGGAATTAAGACCTTAATTAGGACACATGTCTAAACCAACAAATTAGTTAAACAGCTTTGACAATGACAGACTAATCAAATCTAAAGCCATGTCATTATCAACTTAGATTATGCTGTTTGGCATGGTTTTATAATAGGGAAATTACCAACTATGTCCATTTATAAGTAGTTCATTACAAAAATTGGCCAATTGATAAAATATTACTAATATTAGCCAAATTAGCCAATTAGCTATTTGTAGTAAAAAAATATCAAATTTTTGCTTTGTTTTGAGTGGGTGTTATTAGAATAGATTGAGCACAACTTAAAGAGCTTGAATCTCAGTTTTGGGATGATTCGGTGAAGTTTTGAGGTGGTTTTAATTGAAAATTCGAAATAAAAGCTGAACATGAAAAAAATGATATGTGTATCACACTATGTATCATTTGTGTATCACATGTGTATTGTATTTGTATCAATTGTGTATCACATGTATATCCATGTATACATGTGTGTGAGATACATGCGTGATACATGTTTGATACATGTGTCGCAGAAGATTTTTTTGAACTCGATTTAATTACGAATTTCGATGCAAAACCAGTCCAAATCACCTCCAATCTTCCTCAAATTTTCTATATTGACTTATCTATATATTTTCAATGAATTTCAACTATACCCATTGAAAAAGTTTCTTTTTTGTTTAGATTTTTGGAATATTTTATAGATTTTTGTATTTCATCACCTTATTTGCTACCCCGTCCATGAAATTTCCTTTCCGTCTTGTATCTAATGTTCTAATCACGCTTAAAAATATGGAAGGTGATTTTTGCATGTGATTCTTTGAGAGAAAGAATCCTATTATTTGGTTTTTCAATTTTCGTTGGCTAGTTTTGGTAAGTGTATGACTAATGGCTAGAGGTTGGTAAGTTGAGATTTATTTGGGACATTTGTGTAAGTTTCCTTTGTAATATAATGAGAGTTCCGAAACAAGATTTTGGACGGCCAGTTCTTGTCGGTGGGATATTGTTAGTTGTGTTTGTTCAAGCAAACAATAAAGCCCAAAAATCTATTCTAGTTTTTAAGGGTGGAGTAAGCAAATATCCCCAAAAGCCACTACTTAATTTGTATAGGATTAATCTTTTTTGCAATTTTATCCACTTTTAACATAACTTTTGAACGTATGCGATTGAAATAGCTCAATCCGCATATGAGGTTACAGGATTCAAATGAACCCGGCACTTGAA